CGAAAGCATCATGCCAAAATGAAAGACAACCACACCCACTGCTTAGGGCCGGAATCTTCTCCAAAGCATTCTTCATGTAAGTTGGAGTTAAATTCACTGTTTGTAGTGGGATCAACTTCAAAGCTTACTATGGACAAGTTTGCGGTGACACCATGTGGATATATTTCTCTTTTATGAGTGTGTGTGGTTCCACCTCGGTTCCTCTCAAAACCACACACACTCACAAAAGAGAAATATATCCACATGGTGTCACCGCAAACTTGTCCATAGTTAGTACTTCCACCATGCATAGCCTCAAGTCTCATCCAAATTCAAAGCTTGTTGGCTTACTCGTAATGTTGCAATTTAGTTAGTCATCTAGCAGGGAAGTTTCGCTAGTGAGTTGCAAAAGTATTTCACTGTGGACGAAGGAAGATGAAAAATGAACCACAAGACCCTTTATTTCATGGCTTTGGAGAGAAATTGAGGACGACAACAAACGATCAGAATAACCAAATGTACTGTATGTTAAGAAACGGACTAGTCTGCCAAAGCAGAGGGATATGAACTAACTTTCTACATCTGAGGTTGCTGTTTTCTTTTTCTTGCGTGAAGTTTTTTCCCACATCTTTACGGAAATATATTGAAACTTGCACGCCCTTCACAAATTGTCATTTTATTAAGAAAAATCTTGGAAAAAACCACTAATATGGGCCTATTATGCAGCTCCTACAACCTTAGCTGGTCACAGTATAATATTCTGTTTGAATAGAGTCACGTTTACAGACATTGAACATTCACAGAACTGATTTCGTTGTTCGTGTGTGTGTTGTCGAACACAAAACTAAAAGGTTTTTGCCTGCAATGCACGCCGGTAAACAAGTCTGCAGTCCAGTGGCTGCTCACCCGACCCGACTACCCATATAATAATATTAGCACCACAGTTAGAGCGTGGCTATTTATTAGCTGCACAGGCCCCACTTATAAGTAGCGGTGGGTAGTCGGGTCGGGTGGCTGCTAGACTTCTTTAGAAGCTTGTGTTTTGGTCGGTGAACTTCATTTACAATCCTTCGTCGTGACTCTAGTGAGGGATAATAGTGACATAAGGCGACATAACGACTTGACAAATAATTTTTGGCATCGTTATTAAATATGTACAGGGCAATAGATGACAATTCATGTCAAAGATGCAATGGTGCAGCCTTTTTTCCAAGATAGATATTTTAAGAAGTAACAGAACGAAAAAATATAACAAATTCTAAAATCTGTGCACGTTATTTTCATATCCAAGGGTTCCGGAAGCGTGCCACCAAGGTCAACTTTCAGGTTTCATACGTCGGGGCAAAGCATTAACTTGCATTCCCTGCAGGTATTGGTGTGTTTATTGTATGGATTCAACTCCGTATCCAGTCCTTCAATAAACTGGCAGGGGTAACTCTGACAATGAGTTAGTTGTTGCGCAGTACCTAGCTTATTTTAATGTCACTAAGCTATTTATTATGTATTATAATGTGGATCCGACTCCCAATCGCTAACGACCTGGCCTTTGCGATAAAGTACACCAACAGTGAAGTGACTCATGGTAATCACACGGAGAAAGAGAACCAGCCAGATGGCAATGGCTCAAGAAAAGAACAGAAAAAGGATTTGATTTAAGGGATGAGAAAATCCCTCCAAGTTGAAAACATTGAAGTCTCCTAGCTAACACTCCCTCCCTTCGGCGTATAGGCTTAATTTCCACCAAAAGACAAATCATTTAAATCACATAATACACAAAGATACATATTCTTTGAAATCACTGTCAGTGTATCTTTTTGGCAAGAAACCCTTGCTTTTTCAATGTTTACAATTGGTATTAAAACATAATGTTCACCAAGAGGAAACAAAGTTCAATCTGTCTGAACACTAACTGGGGGCAAATAAACCTGACAGGTAATACGTTAAGGGCCCATTAAAAACTTTCAATGCTTTAAATTACATTTACAAACAAATTTAATTCACCAAAAAAATTGGCTTCGGCCACCTACCCCCATTTTCGGTTTAATTACTAATGTTTTTAAAATTCGGTTTCATACATACATACAAGTCTCTTTTACATCCTTGTTTTTCTTTGGACGACTTGCATCCCTGCTCACAGTTGTGTTTTCCTACAATTGACTGCTAAAAGTGGTTGCTGGCCGTCAGAACAACAGCAATTGAACACTTCAGAGAGTGTTAAATTAATTGACCACAACGGGGAATAGGCTCCAACCTTATAAATTGTACTGTAAACTGCCGCTTTACGGGTGACATGTTTTCAAGCAGTTCGCCTCGCACTGTCCCCGTAGTAGGTGTGGAGCCACATATTCTCCACTCGCAGTATCACTGCGATCCACATGGTCTGAAGTATTATTACTGGTTTATTAAATAATAAACTTTCGCAGCCAAACAGCTGCATTATGGTCCATTTTACTAAGATAATATTAGATTACAAATAAATTGAAATACATTTAAAAGTTACTGCCATACCAAACAATTACTTAAGAATAGATAAAACATTACACTGGTTGCAGAACAAATATACTATGAACCTAAAAGACAAATAACCACACAAACTAGGACAGGATAAGAATCTATAAGATATATCAGACATGATATAGAACATACACGAAAATTCATCATGAGCATGTCTGCAGAACAAAAGCTACGGCAGCCCTTAGAAACCACTAAAAAGATTTTGACAGGTTTGAGGACTGTCGGAAAACATTTGATTTGTAACGGTTTGTGCGAAAGCGTATAACGGAGAACATGTTTGTATTTCTCAAATTAAGAGGAAGCGAATGCCTAAAGAACCTGTACTTAAGTAGACTCTTACCAGCGGCGTATGTACACGACCAACAACGTAATACTGTCAGTCTGATTTCTAACAGATTCACTGATATGAAAAGAAGGTACAGTAATAAGTACTTTTCGAAAGCGAGATTATCTGTTACCTTTACACGGAGGTGTTGGTTACCTTGAAGTTCCCTAATTTGCGAATGACTATCCAATTATTGAATTAGGAACATGTTTTGTACACGACACATGGTATGATCTGCTAGATTCGATTCGAACACTTTGGTTCTTTGAGCAACCGTACAGGGGGAGTATTCGAAACCCCGCTCTCGTGTTAGTCGAACACGAGAACGGGGTTTCGAAAGGAAAGAATCAACGAGCGAACATTGTTTGCGAGCAAGATTGTCACTCCCCAGTTTCTGGGGAGTGGATGGAGAACATCAAGAAAAAAGATGGCGGATATGGTACATACCAAACTTAATGTTGGTTTTGTGACGTAACATAGAAAAGACTCACTATAATGAAAATAAAACCCAGTGCAAATACTCATGGCTATTGGAGAGAATTTACCCTGACCATTTGATATGAATATCTGGAGACTTTATCATTGTGAAATGGTGAATGCCATGCCATCTTTTCATTTGGTTTCAAAATGGCAACTACTATCTTGACCTTCAGCGCAGCTGCACTCTTTTTGCCATTCGGCCTTCGTAATCAACGACCCACGAACACTGTTCGTGAGTATGGGACTCAATGAGAATGGGGTTTCTGATACGCCCGGGGTGTTTGTCCAGACACCTTCGTTGTTGTGGGTCGTCGATCAATCGGTAACTGGATATAAGTATTGTAGCGTGTCCTACTGATTGGGCTCTGATGCTAATATACACACACACAAGTCAAGAAATCTCTGTTTTATTTCTCTTTGTCAACAACACTGTGTTCTATCCCAAGCTCTAGACATGACGCGTCTTCGCGGGGACTGCGCAGGCGCGAGGCGGGAAAACCGCGGGCCGTTCGCATACCAGCGGGGGCAGCCAGCCAACTCCATACGGGTCCAAGCTGGCGCCCCCACCGGCCGGACCCGCCGGCGCTACAGTATGGATTTCATGGATCTGCTCCGTTCCCCAAGGTTCCAGAGCGGAAAAGTGGAAAATGAAAAAATGAAGGTCCAAATCACCTTCTTGAACTTTTTTCTTTTGCCCCCCCCCAAGTCCAGTTTCTGGTCATGGATGGACTTGGTCCAAAAGTGGTGTGGTGACGCAATTTCCTCCCCTCTTTTTTTTTTTTTTTTTTTTTTTTTTGGAAGTGATGTACAGGCACATATACTTTAGAGCGCATGGCCTTGTTACTATGAGAAGTGTGAATTAACAACTTTGAATCAATAAAAAGACCATAAAATATGACGAGAGGCAATGGTTTCAGTCCTCTCATTCAAACAAGAGGCTTCCATTGTTGACAATGTCAAAACTAAATAAATAAACTTTGCACCTTTTTTGGACCCATAAATGAGGAGCTGTGTCACTGAAAAAAGTTCTTTCCTCACCTTTCACCCAGTGGCGTATCGGGGGACGATCCCCCCCCCAACGAATTTCCACCACGTTTTCCCCCTTTTGCAGTATAGTCGGTTTGTCTATTTATCAAACATCATGTTGAATAAGTCCGATGCTGCAATTGCCTTTGAATTCCCCCCTGCCCTGCTACAACAAAAGCTGCATACGCCTATGCCAGCTACTAGTGACGAATGGACGTGTCCTGGTCGTACTGGTTTTACCCAGAATGTGCCAAGATGTTTCCTCCAGTTCTAAAGCTGCAAACGCATGTACTTATAGTTGTCTTCTGTTCGGGTGACCACAGGTCTGTGGGCTTTAGGCAGTGCCAGTGGCGCTTTCAAGGAATCATTGGCTTCATTATAATACCAGAAAGGAATGGGCAGTAGGAACAGAAACTATCCCAAGTTGATATTTTCTTTCAAGCCGCTGAACTCATAAAACGACAAAACTTAACTCAACCAAACTTTGCATGTCTTTCTGTTTAAACTTGCACTATCCAACGAGACGGAACAATCTAATGATCTCGTTCTGGTATTGTAAACGGTAAGGGGACCTTAAGAAATATCCCCGATATCTAATGTCTCCAGTGTTCATTCGCAGATATGGCCTCCCTAGTATTGCATTCAGTCGTAATATCCTAGCTTTTTTTTCAGCTGGATGCTGGACTTCTTCCGTCGAGGGTATGGGAGGCCTCTCGTGGAGGAAGACTTGTACGATGTTTTGCCAGAAGACTCCGCGGGTGTGTTAGTGAATAAACTTGAAAGGTAAAACAAGTCTATGAAATTCCCATTTGGAACCCTCGGTATAACCTACTTAATCTCGTGTGCACAGGAAAAATCACGATTGCAAAGTCTTTTAACAGAGTACTGAAAATTGCACTTAGATAAGAAACTAACAGCGGAAACGACTTAATGGGACTTTTTCTAGAGAAAAAAATTAACAAAGCCAGAAAACAAGAGAGAAAATGATCAAAATCGCACCCCCTGTACATTTTTCAATGGCCCTTAATTGCCACCAAGGCCATTTACGCGCATTTGTGAATAATTATGAATTTCATTAGTTCAAATTCCATTACGAAGCGCCTTTGAACTTACCTTTCATGCCCTTCCAAATAATGAGGTGGTATTTACCAAACAAATTAATTATGCGGTTCACTGAAAAAAAAGTTGTGGTTGTGTCAAACACCGTTGTGCCTGTATTATACTGTATTATAACTGTCGCCGATTTGTTTTGCCAGTGAGTGGAATAAAGAGTTGGAGAAAAGTAATGTCACGGGGAGGCCACCGTCCCTCCGATGGGCGTTGCTGAGAGTGTTTGGTGTAAAATTCATGATCTATGGTTTGCCCGCTTTCGTTGAGGTAATTTTTGCCAAATCTTAAATGGTAATTATTTCCTCTGCAGTAGCCCTACTTTTATTGGATCGAACCTTGAGACTAAGAAGCCAAAACGATGTTTTAAGTTGCCAAACGAAAGAAACTGCTGTTATTATTTCAGTCATAAATACTGTTCGTAGGAGGTCTTCTTGAAGATGGCTCAGCCGTTGATGTTGGCACGATTGGTTCTGTACTTCTCCACGGACCTCGTTTCAACCACTGAGGCCTACCTGCAAGCAGCCGGTCTCTCCTTGTCCTCGCTAGGTCTCGTCGTCGCCCACCACTGGTGTTCCTTCGGCTTCGGCCTGACGGGGATGAAACTCAGAACTGCTTGCTCGGCCCTTGTCTTCAGAAAGGTAGTGATCATTTTCTTCTCTTGCCTTAGCTCTAGGTGGCATCCTCAAGAGTCTACTTGAGTTGAACTTAGACACTGACCCTGCACTTTTTATGCGCTGTGACAATTATGTAGCCGAGCCATTTTTTCCATAATTGTAGGCCTTGAAGCTCAGCAACCTTGCTCTAGGTGAGACCACTGTCGGTCAACTGGTGAACATCCTCTCCAATGACGTCAACAGATTCGATCTGGTAAGTGTGAGAAATATTTCGTTTGGTGTCGACTCCCGCAGCCCTGTCTGTCGGATGGTCAACCCCGGCAGGTCAGTGATCAAATGGGTAAAATAACCTCCTTGTCCCGTGGGAGCACAAGAACGATTGCTTTTCGAAGGCCCAATTAAACCTTTAAACGACACTTGTTCCAAAGCATTCGCTTATTAGGTCCGTTGACTAATTTTAGTACCAACTTGATACCTTCAACTGTTTTTACTGAGTTAGAAATCTCAACGTAAGACAATGTGTTTCTGTTCTTGAATGTACGCGCAGCAGCTTTCCCTTTGGCACTGTTTGGCATTCCTAGACTTCTTGTCTTATTCGCGTTGGGTTTTAATGCCATCCGAGGCATTCTTTGAATCTATTCCGTGTCTGCTTTTGCAGGCCTTTGTATTTATACATCACCTGTGGATAGCACCATGCCAGCTGATTGTGGTGTTTGCCTTATGCTGGCGAGAGATCGGAGTTTCTTGCGTAGCGGGGCTCTCCATCATGTTCCTGATGGCGCCCATTCAAGTTTACATGGGGAAGCTGTTTTCGAGGTTGAGGTAAGACCTTTGTTTGCTTGTGATGGTGCGCATCCATTCTTCCTGCTTTAGCTATTGAGATGTCACCTCTTCGCATCTTTCTCTCCATAACTATGTCAGATCCAAGACAGCCTTGTTGTCCGATGCCAGACTCCGCATTATGAATGAAGTGATCTCGGGGATGCGTGTCATCAAGATCTACGCCTGGGAACAATCTTTTGGAAAGATAGTCGCTGAAAGCCGAGGGTAGGTTGATCGTCAAAGCATACCAATCTGATAACTTGTACCAGTTTTCAACATTCAGTGGCGGTCGTTGTACCACGGATAAATAGTTCCAAACTGGGAGATGATGTTTAGACCCTACGGGAGCCGTTCGAAAAGGTTTTTGTCCAAACGGTGGGATAACAATGGAACATTCCAGGCTGGAAAAGAACATTTCTGAAGACAGCCATTCATTACTAATTGAACCGTTGAGAACCCACAGAGCGATTTTTCTTCGAGCCATCATCGAAAGAGATATCTTTCAGTTTTGCCATTTCGAGTCTTACATGGTTCATGCCAGCCTTTCTGGTGTAGACATTAATTAATTGTTCTCCCCTTCTGCAGTAAGGAGATACGCAAGATACTGCAAAGCTCGTATTTACGAGCGCTAATTTTTGCTCTGCTGTTCGAGGGTACCCTACTGACAACATTCGTCACCTTCGTGGTCTACGCCTCACTCGGCAACCCCGTCACGCCCTCCAAGGTGTTCCCGGTGATCTCGCTGTTCTACAGCGCTCGAATCTGCCTGTCCTTATTCTTTCCATTCGCTGTGATGAACGGGGCGGAGGGACTTGTCTCCATTCGTAGGATTCAGGTAAGGACAAAGAATGCAAATCTGGGAAAAAGGTGGATGGCCGTAACTCACGCTCGTGGAGTTAAAGAGTAATTTAATGTAATGATTGTGGTTCGTCGACGGGTTTGGTCATACAAGTGCTTCTGAAGGGTGTGTAACAGAATGGGGTGCGGTGCGTTATCTCTGCAGGGGAACTCCTTGAATGATGGTATGAGTTCTCCAGTTTTATGCTCTTATTTTTCTAAGAAACAGCAAGCAGATGAAGAAGTAAAAGAAAACCTGGAAAAGCAAAGTAGAGGCAATAGTTAGTTCCCGTTGTATGTTTATACAAAAGAAAGTGCTAGGTGACATTTTGAATTAATGTAAGCAGTCTTAGTGCGGTACTGCAGCGCCAACTTCGCTCTTAACGTTGACAAGTGAAAGACCAAAGCGCTGGTAAAGTACGTGTAGCCAATCTAGGGCGGGGGAAGTCTTGAGAACTGGTCACGACAACTTTCCCCAAAATTTCCATGGACAGCTTACGAGATTCTTCTCGAGCCAATCAGTACCAGATAAAGTAGAACGATAATGAATTATTCATGCTGGCTTCACTGTAGAATGAGCTCCTTACATGCACACAATCCACACTACTCTTAGTTCACGTAAGCACGGGAGTTCTCCTCGGCCTATTGGGTGTTATTTGCCATTGAGTGAATACAAAATTATTCAGGACTCAACTTAGTCTAGAGGATCTGGCAGGTTTTGTTTTCAGTTTTGCAAAACTATTTCCACCTTCAATAACCAGAAGTTTCTTCTCATGGAAGAACTCAAGAAACACGCACAAGAGGTCAATGTGGATCTTAATGCCAATGTTGGATTAGTAAAGACCGTGATTCTGTTGGATGAGATAACTACGAACGGCATTGATGCTTCGAGGGAAATTAGTAATGAGAGCGACTCCGAAGATGGGAAGGGCACCTCGCAGTACGTTGAAAAAGAAGCACGAACAAAAATCACGACCTGTCTGATCGAATGCCACGGAAATGAGGAGGTTGGTGGGTACGTTGGGCCCGCTTGTATGCAGGAAGGCGGCGATCTAGGCAATACGGGAGCTGCAGCTGACATGAAGGACGGAATCGGGATTGTTGTCAGGAATATGTGTGGATCCTGGTACAAGGTATCTATCTGCACTGTAGGCCTGTTAACCCATTCCACCCATCAAGCCTTCACGAATAAAAAACGAATGGTCATTCCTTTCCATAATTCTTTGCATCCAATTATTCTAGAGAAAAGTAACTGGTTTATAAGGCAACACAAATGCACAAACCTAGACCTTCGAATCTGGTTTTCCCAATTGTTAAGATGCATTCTTGATCTGTTTCCTTCCTACTGTTTAGACAGCGTTCCTATGGTAGCGTCTTACTTTTCACTTTCACTATCTCACACATCAACTATCAAGGCGGAAAATACGTGTACTGAGTTGAAAGTGCCTTTTTTACAGTATTGTGTAGATCCTTAACCTCGTTTTCATTTTTAAAACAAGGATTTAAGCAACACTGTGCTTCAGGACATCAGTTTTCGGGTTGAGCCGGGAGAGCTTCTCGCGGTGATCGGTCCCGTCGGGTGTGGAAAGGTGAGCCATCACTGATTCTAGATCGCAAAAGCGTGGTGTTAATAAACACCCTTTAGGAAGAGACAGGACAAACATAGGATCAAAGGACCCATTATTTTCTCGCTTTTGATACAGAACTAAAACGTACTTGAAGGAATAACTCTAACCGGGCAGAATGGAGAATCAGTTGACCTATTAAATTGTAGGTGTAGGACCAGTACTAGTGGACCACAACTACTCTTGGTATCTGTATAGGCCTACACAAGGTCAAGGACAATATCTACACAGTTTTATCACACTATCCTTCATATCTAAATAGCTCTATTATGGAGCACCCTCGAAATCGAGACAGTGTGCAATACAAACATACCACCCCTTGATATCTCTACGGCATCGATACAGAATGCACCTTTTTGGATACTACTACAAATACAAGTTGGTATCCACAGTAAATACACATTACTAGGGATCAGGAAAGGGGCTCCTTCAATATCTTTATACCGTCTGCATGGTTTATTCTCCCGTGCCAGTCTTCCCTGTTGATGGCCCTGCTGGGGGAGCTTCCTACTGTATCAGGAGTCAACGCCCTAACCGGCCGGGTTGGCTACACGGCTCAGCAACCCTGGATCCTGTCCGGCTCACTCAGGGATAACATCCTCTTTGGGAGTGAGTACGATTCGGCGAAGTACCAGCGAGTCATCAAGCAATGTGCGCTTACCAAGGTAGGTTCTAGGAGGCTGGAGCCATTTCTCAAATCCCAGTATCTTTTCATTCTTGGGCTTCATCTCTGTTCCATAATCATTTGTTTGAATGGAACCTAAAACTTAAGCTAACATGGAAACCACATTGAAGGATTTATCTTTTTTAAGCACCGGAAGAAGCTGCAGTGAGTTGATTGTTGTCAACCAAAGAAAGACCTCCGGGGAGCTACTCTGTTTTTCCTTAGAATGACTTATTAAGTAAAAGAAATTAAAACTCGTCACTGTATTTCTGAAATGTCCTTCTTTTACTAGGTTTAAGGTTGTTTTGTGGCCTAAAAAAACTTTACAAAGCTTCATCTTAAAGGATTGCTTCAAAGCTTGCCCAAATGCAGCCTCAAGACATTGAAATAATCAACCTTGTTTCAAATTAGTTAAAGGTTATGGTAGTACAACGCAAGGATATCTCTATTTATCAGTCAGCTTCTGGTTCGGACAAAAAACCCAGTGGATATTCAATTAATGTTCACACAGTAATAGCATATGCTTTGTCCGTCGTCAGAAGCCATCCTTTGCGTCGTGCTACTGCAGACTTTTTACTTAATTTGCGAACTTCACCACGAGAAGCTTTAAAGGTCATCCAACCTTGTATCCTCAGGACATTGAGCTGCTACCACACGACGATCAGACACTGGTCGGCGAGCGGGGAGTGACCCTCAGCGGGGGTCAGAGGGCAAGGGCTAGCCTGGCCAGGGCCTTGTACAGTGATGCTGATGTTTTTCTGCTAGATGATCCGCTGAGCGCAGTGGATCCGGCAGTCGGGAAGCACCTCTTTGACAGGTCAGCCATTTTTATTTCCTGTCATAGTATTACTCTTTTCATTTTACATTCTCCATGACTTTCTTGTACTTCTCCAAGATGAGTAATGGACATCGTCTTCGTCAGCATTAAACCTCTTTATCTAATTCAAGGAAACAAATTTGAAAAGTTGCTCGGTTCTCGGTTACAATGAGGCATCAGATCAAACTCAAAAGGTTCAGAATAATTCACATCCTTTGTTGTATTTCAGACACGGGATCTTTGCTCTGTGGATGAAGATTGGACAAACAAATCCTTTGTTGGTGTGCGCCAAAAGTCACAGAATCCTTCATCCCCACAAAAAGGATACATGCATATGCATTTTCACTGAGTAGACAGACGCATTGGAACATTCTCTTTGGTACAGCCAAATAATTGCTCTACCTGATAATTCTGATCCCCTGCGCAAGTAAACCTGTGTTAACTACAAAGTTGCACCTGACGATCTATCTGTTCACACCTACAGTTTCAGAGTGTGCATTTCAGTACACTTGGGTGAAAGGATTAATGTTATTTTCTTTAAATTAAAAGGTGCATCCTTCATCAAATGAGGGACAAAGCTCGGATCCTGGTAACTCATCAGCTGCAGTTCCTGAACAAGGCTGATAAGATTCTCATCCTAAAACAGGTAGTTCTGAAATAAAAGCTGTTGAGAAAAGAACATTTTGGGTTTCTTGCTCACGTTTTAGACTGACAAACATTCAGACTATCTGGCAGTTTGGCCATTTGTCCCCAGGTCGGATATAATTACGGTTACAGTCTGTGATGGACTTCACTTCAAGAATGGTTTGGTTATGTAGAGGCATTTTAGCTCTACTTTCCAAACCCAAAAGTTGAGGGCCCATAAAAGCTACTCATACATAATGATCGACAGTGATTCCTTGGTGTGCTGGACTAAATGTGACAGGGTAGATCAGCCGGCTACGGGACATACCATCAGCTACGGAAGGAAGGCGTGGACTTCGCGGCACTCCTGAAGAAGAAATCCGACGACGATGACCAAGCTGGAGAAAAGAAGCCGCAGTTCCTCGGGCCGAAGACACACCAAAGGAAAATATCAACGAGCTCCAGTGCTTCGTTTCATGCAGGCCAAGATGAGGTTGGTGTCTTTATTTTTCATGCTAGCAATTTGCTGACCCTGCTTTGAAAAAGTCGCATTGTTGCGTCATACTTGTAAACTTCCATATGTTTGCTGAGCTAATATAAACAAGGGTGATGATCAGGGAAGAGACTTTGATAATTTTGGTCTTGTGTTTGCCACTCTTTCTTGTTAGGCATTTTTGCATTTTTTGTCTTTATTTTTCCGTCCTTTCACACGTCCTCTTGCTCTCCCTGTTTGGTGTGTCGCCCTTGCTGTAGGTGGAGAAACCCGTGGACATCGCCCCAGAGGAGATGGCGGTGGGTACCGTCCAGTGGATGGTGTACCTCCGCTACTTCCGGGCAGCGGCGGGATTCCTCTTTCTGCTCACCTGGGTGATTGCAGTGGTCGGTGCCCAGGTAAAACTGCCAGTAATGGGACACGGTAAAGGTGGAAGCCTGTGACACTGGAGAAAGCAGAATGCTTATCAGCATTATGATTCACATTCATAAAAGCATGTTTAAAAATTAGTTTCCAACTCACTCAGTCTGAGCTTTGTATATTAGAAAAACCATAAGAAGAACAGAAGCATCTCTGGCCGTGTCCAAAACGGGCTGCCAGAGCTACGGCTAGGTCTATTGTCCACGCATTTCCACACATTTTCAATGGAGTAAAGACCTAGACCTAGCTCTGGACAAGAGATTTGGACGCAACCTCAGAGAGCTGTTGTCCCACAGCCGATTACGGAGTGTTTTAACGTTTAAGTTAATTTTAATTTTAACGTTTAAGTTAAGTTTAAGGCAGTGGCATATCTGCCACGTCACAAATATTTTCAATGTTACAAAAGTGGACTTTTAGTGCAGACATTCCACCCGGAAGAAGTATTTTATGGCCAACCAATCCCAACCCAGCGTACGATGTTTGACGTTTCCTCTCCTCCATTTTTTTACTTCAAAGTGACGCATCTTTCCAAAACATGCCTGGAGTGAGTAATGATGACGTTTTACAATTCCACACGTTCATTTGACTGTTAGGGGGCTGCAAGCCGCTCAGACCACACGCCCGATGATTGGCAAATCAACAAGTTCCCCAGACAATAATATTTTGCTTTGTTTTCCATTTCAGGCTGCGCTGACTTTCACAGACCACTGGCTGGCTACGTGGGCCTACGAGGAAGAGAAGCATTTAGCGGCAATGAATCAGGTTGGCTGATAGTCAGCATACAACTTACAGTTAAAAAAAAGTCGTAGCTACTATAAGACACTTCTTGGTGTGAACGTTCCCCGTCTAAAGTTTAAATTTGATTCCAAATCCATTTTCTACTGCACACAGGAGTTTCAGAATGCTACAAAAAACAACCACCAGTCGCATTACATCAGAGTTTACGCAATGCTGTGTGGAGGATCGTCGCTTGCTTTGTTAATCCGTAGCTTTCTGTTCTTTCATCTGTTTGTGACGGCCTCCGGGGCTCTTCACAACCAAATGTTCGCAGCCATCATCAGAGCGCCCATGCAGTTCTTTGATACGAATCCTGTTGGTGAGACTCAAATGAGACTGCACACTAATGCGTCTGTAGTGTTAATTTAGTGCAGTGTTTAACCCTTGTCGTTATAGATCGATAAGAATTCATGAATTTGTGTGACCCACGTGTAACAGAAAAGTAAGGAGTAGCACTGATAAAATGTATGTTGTTCTACTTCAGGTCGGATTTTGAATCGCTTCTCCAAGGATATTGGTTTTATGGATGATTTGTTGCCCGGAACGTTTACGGACTTTCTGCAGGTAATGTTCCGACGGGCTCAGCTTTTTGATGTTTCACTGTTTGGTGGCATTGCTAATTGCTTTCGTTAATTCCAAATACACAAAGTGGCTTCGAACTAAATTTAACCCTTCATATTAAACTCAAAAATGGTCTTCCAGGTTGAAATTTTTCTTTATTTTCATTTTTCTCCATTTCTCCGTCCAGATTACCTTGAACACCATTGCCATTATTATCTTGATTTCCATCTTCAATCCTTTCTGCCTCGCCTTCACCCTCCCGATTGCCGTCGTATTTTATTTCGTAAGGAGATACTACTTAGCCTCCTCTCGAGACGTCAAGAGATTAGAAGGAATAGGTACCTCAACAGGGATTCCAGTAATCTAAATCTATATTATGATTGATGCAACCTCTTAAAGTGGATTGAAAGAGGCCTTAAGTCACTGCAACCCTGAATTTTTAATGATAGTGTGCTATGCTCTTCTCACCTAATGAGGATTTATTTTCATTTCTGTCATGCTGTCTTAAGAAGGATTGTCGAATTTCGTGGGTGAGACAAATAGCTTTTTTAGGAATCGTTAATTTATAGTTTTAGAATTATTTCAGTATACATATGTAGAAGTACACTCTATCTATGATTTCATTTCACAAACTGACTTGTAAATGCGTTGTCTCATTAGTACGGCCGTTGCACAATAGTGCGCCACCAAGAGTTTGCAACCCGTTAGCCAATCACAGTGCACAAAATTTGTCGACCCAATGCACGTTTGGAAAGGGTCGACAAATTTCGCGCGTTATGATTGGCCAACGTGTTGCAAACTCTTGGTGGCGCGCTATTGTGAATCGCCCGTATTGTATCTAGTGAAACATTATGGTATTGTCACCATATGCCATTGCGCAAGTTTAGGACCTAGTTTGGATCCGTTTTAATGTGATATGATTCGCCATTTTAAACTAAACATCCAATATTGTTTCGTATTACAAATTTTCTTTCATCGTATGTTCCTGTTTGAAGCTCGCAGCCCCGTGTTTTCTCATCTGTCGGCCACTCTGACCGGTCTGATCACGGTCCGGGCGTTCAGGGCCCAGCGGCGCTTCACCGCGGTTTTTGACGGCTACCTTGACGGCCACACCCGGGCCTGGTTCCTCTTTCTAGCTACGTCCCGCTGGTTCGCAGTGCAGCTAGATATCCTCAATACCTTGTTCATCTGCGGAGTTTGTTTCACCAGCATCATGGCCGCTGGCCGTAAGTTGCACAAAATGAAGTAGGCATGCTCAAATGTAGACATAAACCCAGTCGTTTTTAAATTTATGCTTCTGACTGGGTCGTTAATTGTGATGACCATCTTCACATTTTCAACCTATTTTTGGAGAAAGAATTCATGAAATAACTCACGGATATACTTCAGCAAAAATTTCTTATAGGTGCTCATTAATGTTTTGATTTACCGTGCTCACATTACAAAAGAAGACAGTTATGGCAGAATGCGTCCTATGCTTCAAAACATATTCAGTTTAGATATTTGGACAAAGCTTCTTTATCCATCTTTGAAAGTCGTCGCTATTTTATAGATGTGCAACTTTCAGCATTTCAAACAAAACTGGTTTCAGTGTTTGTGGTGTAACATACAAGATATACCGGATGTCGACTGAGTACACCCTCGTCGAAAATGCAGTGCATAATAGCTTTATCATTAAAAAAAAAAGATCTTGCTTATTTGGGAAGGCACTTACTATAGTACAGGATCATATTCAAGCCAAATTAACATTGTTTTGTTTGCTTAGTTCTTGATCTGAACTCTGGCATTGTCGGTCTGTCGTTGACGTACGCCATCAGCCTAATGGGGCTGTTTCAGTGGGCAGTTCGACAGAGTGCGGAGTTAGAGAACCAGGTAAATACCTGTATTAAATTCTATCGATTTTCTGGTTGGCTGGAAGTCCGTGGGCGTTTAATACATAACAGAATTAGTTCCAAACTAGATATTCATTAGCCACTGTCAACGTCTGTACACTCAGATGACATCTGTGGAGCGTGTGTGCCAATACATCGATATCAAGCCTGAGGCTCCCTTGGAGACCGACAATAAGCCGCCTCCTGACTGGCCACTTGATGGAGGCATCACGCTCCAAGATACTTCCCTGAGATACACTGAAGACGGGCCTCAGGTGCTGCAAAACATCAGCTGCTCCATCAAGCCGAAGGAAAAGGTACGGTTTAATATAGGCCTACAGGGGCCGATTCGAATCCGATGACATGATTACTCTACCTTTGGTGGAAACAACTCCTTCAGTGTCTCAGGAAAATCTGAACTTGCAACATAAATTTAAAGTGGGGTGGAAAAATTCAATACTGTATATTGACATCAAGTCTGTGAAGGAGAAGCTTGAACGCCCGCTTCAACAATTACATTTCCATGCACGTCTGAAATACTGTGCAGTTCCGTTTCTGCATAGCCTCTTCTACAGGCATGTGATGAGCACTAAACCCTTTTCGAAACGTTGGTTCACATATCACGGGAATTACATCAACCTGGATCAAACTGTACATGCAGGTGAGAGATATTTTGTGGTAATTGTGGCTTTTAGGTCGGCATCGTCGGCAGAACTGGGGCTGGCAAGAGCTCTCTAATGACGGTGTTGATGCGACTGGCCGAACCCACGGGCACCATCATGATAGACGGTGTCAACACGACGATGATCGGGCTGCACGACCTCCGAAAGAAGGTCTCCTTCATCCCACAGGTAAAAGATCCAGTTGATGAGCACAAGCATCACCAACCTTCTAAGCCTGTCTCTAAAGCCTCTCCAATCCCGAAAAGTGACAGCTGATTTGGATTTTATTTGGTTTTGTCCTTGATTACGGCTCTCTCCTCGAAAGATGTCCTTCAAAGACATGAACCAGCGGTGAAGATCCACAAGAGGAGACATATATACCGGTGATCAACTACCAGTGACAACCCACCCCACACCTTGTCTATTCAACATCGACTCCGTCAGGCACCAGTTAGCTTGCAGTGGGCGTAGTCTCTTTCCTAAACGTCCTTGTCAGGCTAGTGTAATGCGCATGTTTGCCAGTAAAAGTAGGCACCGGAGGGAAGGAAGTCAACTGGCCTGCATGTATTGCCCTTTGGAACTGTGAAACAGGGATAGACTGTTTAGGAGTAATGTGCTTAACCGAGTTTTGAAAAACAGTTTGTCAGAACGATATTATGGCAATTTTCCTTCATGTAGGACCCAGTCCTGTTCAGCGGAACACTGCGGAGGAACTTGGATCTATTCAGTGAGCACGCTGATTGTGATATATGGAGAGCCATTGAAGAGGTATGTTGGGTAAAAGAAATTGGGGGACCGGTATAGTAGGTTAGCTGATCCTGATCATTCAGATCCAACGCGACAACTACAGTAAGACCCAATAGGGGTACACTTTATTTCATTCTATACCGAAAGCATGGAACAGCCCTGAAGAAAACGGGTGTATCCTTTTCTGCAAAATTTCCACAAGATTCCTGTAAATGGAAAAGTCCCTGTGAATGCAATGCCTCTCTCATCTCCAAGCCTGTCTCCTGGGATGCGTTCCTGAAATCATTAACATGCTGGTTCTCTTCCCAACTGCAGGTGGAGTTGAAGCCAGCAGTGGAGGAGCTTCCTGACAAGCTGGAGGCAGTCCTGACAGAGGGAGGCACCAACTTCAGCGTAGGTCAGAGACAGCTGCTGTGCCTGGCCAGGGCCATCCTGCGTAAGAACAAGATCCTGATAGTGGACGAAGCCACGGCCAACGTGGACGCCAGGTGAGCGTGTTTTTTTTTTCTTTTTCATGCCCGAACGATGATCAGTGTTCTTTTAGACAACTCAAGGTGAAGCACCTCGTGGGTCAGTCGAGAGGGTTTGCAAATTCAACGCTATCAGCACGACGGTAGCTGGTCGCACGCACTCAAATTATTGACCTTTTTTTTTCTTAAATCCAAAACTGGTTATTGCTTTTCTAGTCTTTAACAAAGAAACTGTCAGCATTTGTTAGAAATCATACCAGTGACCCATATCACATCTACCCTACAAGAAGAGTCCTCATTCTCAAGACAATTAGTTCGTGGTGTTAAGCTCCGTGCTGTGACTGTTGCTCTGTTGCATATTCACATCAAGAACTGACCGGTTGATCCTGACGACTATCCGACAGCGATTCAAGCACTGCACGGTCCTAACCATAGCTCACCGCCTCAACACCATCATGGACTCCGACAGGGTCTTGGTAAGAGCTTTTTCATGGAAGTGTAGCAGTGCAGTCCCCGAAAGAAACATTCAAAAGCATTCTCACTAATCCACATTTTGAGTCCATTATCTGTGCCAAAAGTCTCTGTGCATGCAAAACCATAATTAAGTGCATGAAATGGCGACATATCAACAACGCCCTCGACTGTCACGAGAAGGATCTGGCCTATCAGCGAGGTCATGGCCCAAACGCGCACTCAGGCCTTCTTCTCGAATGACATCTTCCTTTTTGGGGCACCGAGCTGATTCATTCCTGTCGATCATGTCTGAATCTTCCCCCATTGCAGGTACTCGATGCGGGGCGTCTGATCGAGTTTGACGAGCCTTACATTCTGCTCCAGAAGGAGGACAGTGCCTTCACCAGGATGGTGCAAGAGACGGGCAAGGCTGAGATGGCCAAACTCCTACAGATTGCAGCTGACAGGCATGCAGAGAAAGCTGCCCACGACCTAGAAGACGTCGATGTCAGCCCCAAGTGACAGCAATTGATTCCAAGCTTTCTAAGCGTTTCAAAAATACACAAGAAGTTAAAGTAGTCAATTCATGAATGAAATTTCATCCAGCTATTAACATAAGATGTGTATCCCGAAGACTGAGTTGTATGTATGTATATAACTTCAAAACCCGGTATGGTTTATGGTTTAATGATTTAGCGATTTTATTTTTAGTAAACAAATGCGTCGTTGAAACGGGACAGTTAATAAGAAATGAAGAAGAAATGGGTGAAACTGATCCACTTTGTAAAGTACATATAAAATATATCAAAGGGTATACGGCGGAATAAAAAAACAGCGTGCTTTTTGGTGGGGTTGGGTTAGGTAAAGTTGTTAAAAGGCACGAAGACCAATATGAATCATGCAGTATATTTGTGAAAGGATGTGATATCCTCTTGATGTACAAAATAAAAAGTAACATGTAATGTTCGTCCTGGCATGCAACCCTTCAGAATAATCAATGTTTATCTTGGTTTGTACAAATCGTTGTCTGCTCCCGTGCCACACTTTGTACCATGATTGTGTCTGTTGTGTACGCGGCGCTAAGGTCGTGGGAACAGACTGCCCTTTTCCTCGAGAGCTCTGAACTTTGCCACTGAAGAGAACGGCTACACAGGTGAGCTTCAGAGGTTTTCAAACGATTACGCCGTATTATATTGGTGACAATACAAATCTGATTACACACAAAACAAATGGCTGCATTAGCAGCTATCAAAAACAGCATTCGAACTGCTGCACTACAGATCTGATGTGATGTCGCCACAGTCCATGATAAAATGTAATCGCTCATACACGAAGAAAGCGCACCTGTTGTTAGCCGTCCAAAACCGAGAGCAGCAAGGCAACATCCTATCTTGAAATGGTGAATCCTGCCAATAAGCACTTTTGATGCATCCATTGGTATGCATTTTGAAATCTACTCTTGTGCTTGCTCCAGTAAAAGAAGAGCAACATCGACTATGGACGACTTATGTCTTCTTCGAAATAGTCCACATCGCGACAAACGTCGCTTTAATGTTCCTAAACTTACAATAACACCGTGATTCACAGCCAAAAACCATAAAATGTCAGAATACCTTAAACCAAGAGAAGTAAGAGCTTACGAGGGTTTTAAACCTTATGTTCCTTGAGATGATCACCCATCTACACAATCAACGAAACAACAGTATTAACGACAAGCTAATTGGCGTTATTTCGCAAAATTATTTTGCGTTATTTCACAAAACTATTGCGTTATTTCGCAATTAAAAAAAATTATGTACTTTAAATATCTGGCACGATCGGGCTTCCGTAGAAAACAGCGCAACAATATCACTCTTGCTTACAATGTGCTGTGAAATACAGATTTTATATGCAGTGACGGAACTGTACGAGTATACACTGTTGTTAAGAAAGTGTCACGAACAAATGTCTGTTATACCTTCACTTCAGGAAAAGTCAACAAAGTTCGACAATGCCACGCAAAATTGACGTATTCCAAACTCCCTTTGTAGTAGATTGTGTTTACTTTATTAAGTTCCACAAGCATTTCAGAAGTGTACAGCACACTTCGTAAATTTGGAAGAGCATTTAATAATACACGATCGATGCCAAATGGCACCGTTCTATGCCACGAATTAGTTTAAATGCAGTGTAAATATACGGTCCATTGTGAGTGGTCTCAGAATGAAATAAACTCCATGAGCAATACTGGCCAAAAAAAACCAAACACTCTTGATGCAAAGTATCATTTCTGCATAACTTCTGAAGAACAAACAATACACAAAAGCCTTGTTTCAAACAAAGTTATCCAACAAATTTTATCCTTGAGATACGATGGTCGAACGTAAATTTAATGTCACAATTTTTCCAAATACGTGAAGCTTTCGCAATCAAAAATATCATGCAAGTCTGGATCAGTGCCAAAATCATGGCTCATTTGACAGCGTGACTCTAACATGTCGCGGAAATAAAGTGAACATCTTGCAATATCTGTAATGGATAATGAGGGGGATATTGAAAGTATTTTACAGTTTTCCTAACTGAAAACTCTGAGATAAAGCTGTTCTCCCACAACATTTCTGAAATCTGACGAGATACCACGGGACAGGGCTTCTGACACAAATTCTGTTGAGCTAGCATTGAACTACATCTTAATGTCCTCATTTCCGAAGTTAGTTTTTGTTGGTGTCGTCGTCGTCAGCGGCGGCGGTGGCGTCGTTTACTTCGTTCTTGTTCTTTTTGAATTTATCCTTAAACAGGCCAACTAAGTACGAGGTGGCTCCCCCGACCGTTGCCCCGACACCGCCCACCGCGGCCGTCCCGCCTGCGCCGAGGCCGGCGGCTCCAACCGACTGAAGGACGGCCACAGCACTTCCAGCAGCTACGCCGCCCCCGTTGGCAACAGCTGCAGCCGACATCATGCTGGCAGCGTAGGATCCGGCTGCTATCCCCCCGGCAGTGAAGCCAATGGCCGGTAGAGCGACCATTACGGCGCCCACAGCAAGCGGCGCGCCCAGAGCTGCCATCAACAGATTGCGTTTCCAGTGTCCTGAATCATTAATTGTGGTAAAGTATGAAAGCGTGCTAGCCACTAAGAAACGCATTAAAAGGAAAATATGGTTGATGCCTAATAATCATCTTCCATTTCGTGTCAAATTTGAAACCAACGATTAATAAAGCATTTCAGCTTCACACAGGTATGACAAAAGTGCACAGCCAGATTTTGCAAGGCTGTCCGTTGCAAAAATGAATTAGCCCCGTTTAAATTATCTTTACCTCGGCGCAATACGGTTGATTCACAACAGTGCGCCTCCAAGAGTTTACAACGCGTTGATTAAACACAGTGCGCAAAATCTGTGGACCTAATGCGCGTTTGGAAGGTTGCACTACACCAAATACGCGCCCATAGTAAACAGTGCAAAATCGGGCCGAAATAGCGCCGCCTTGTGACTCCGTTTTTTTACCGGAAATTCAAGATTATGTCCAGAAGATCACTTTTCGTTTCAATTTCATGGGGGTTATAGCCACGATTTTGTTTTTTATTCGCCTTTGATACCCTCAAAATAGCAGTAAAACTAAGCGCTCATTTCTGAATGTAGCCGCCCGCCTATATCCAAAATAGGCTCGCAATTGGGGCTTTTTGTAAAATAAATACCCCGACCTGAAAACTACCAGTCCAAAATTTGGGATTTATAGAAATATTTGTAAGATTCCTCCTGATTATTGCATGTCATATTGTAAACCCTCCCCCCTCAGAGCTTGCGCGCAGAAATACAACCTTAAACACCTAAACGATGCATGCACGCTAAGATAAAGAACAACGTGTGCATGCTCAGAACTGCTACAAAGGACCGGTATGTTTGCCGCCACCAAAATCTCCTAATTCTGCTTCATTCGCATCCCGTGTTTGCTTTGAAAAATCCATCTTGTTACAGTCTGCAACTTACTCTAGTACATAACCTAGCAACCCCTTGACTACCCTTGCCCTTCCAGTTGTGATTCTGGCCCGAGTCTGAGACATAACGTCCAACATACCTCCGCCTTTACCGTCGGGATTTTGCTGCTTGGTGTCAGCTCCGGCAGGTGCTTCGCCTGGCTTCAAATCAGATGTTTGAGTAGATGTGGCGGATGCAGTTGACTTGACTGGGCTTTGGGTTTCTATGAAAAAAAATCAGAACTTGGCCTATTCTCCAACTCAAACGTAATACTCATCAAATCAATTTGACTAGAATGTCATAATGCTACACTGGCAAAAGGGCTCACTCACTATGCAGGCCCCAGGTCTTTTTTCCCTGAAATGTTTTAGGGTTTGCTCGGATAGTTTAAATAGGGACGGCATATCTCTTCACGGTGCTTGAGGTTTGGAGTTACAACGTCTAACATACCTCCACCAATTTCAGCCTCCGAGTCTGGAGTTGGCTGAATCGTGTCAGACCCATTAGTCACTCCACCTGCATTTGCATTTAATAGTTGAGCAGACGTGGTGGATTCAGTTGAAGTGGATGGTCTTTCGGTTTCTACATTAATTAAGGCAAAACCCAGAAAGGACCATGTCTCAATGGCAAGCGAAAAAGGGGTCGGTAAAAATTGTCCCAACAATAATCACAATAGGTTACTAGATGCAACTTTGTGAGATGATTGAGGCCCGTGGTGTGTCTTGTTGGGGCCTCTTGGTAAACAGGAGGGGATATACAGGGCTTGCATGGCTGCCATCTTTTGTTCCACAGGGTATACACAAAGGATGTCGAGGAACGTAACGAGCCTCTTTATGAGGGTAGGGAAATGGCAGAGGCACAGTACACTGGTTATCCTAGGCAGGACTCGTATCTTTCTGTTGTGCCAGGTGGAGTTGCGGTTTACTGGGTCTTGAAGTGGACCAACCAGGCACAACAGAGAACCCTTTTGAATCAGGTTCCACTTATCTGGTCAGGAAACTGTCCAGCGCCCCAACTTCACCCAGTGCCAACTTTGGGCACGACCAAATGTTGGGGACAGTGATCCAGCAGCACTGAATATAAAATGTACGTAATTCAACAAAGTGTCAAGAGTTTACCAGATTAGTTTGTAAAGGAAGTACAAGACTAGTTTGTAAAGGCAATCTACATGTCGGGGTAATTAGACTGCTCCTTAATGAATGGCTTATGTCACTGCATTCTCCTTAAACTATTCTGTCTTTCCCCTGTTAATATGTGGGTTTTTTTTAATTAGGCCTGCTACGGTTCTTTTTATGTTTTTAATTTCAAATACGATTTCACAACGTTTATTGCTCACCAATATTATTTTATTCATGGTAGTGTTGGCTATGCCCCACTTTATTGATAGACTAAGCCAGGTCAGTGGAGAATGTCAGGATCCTGCAATGGGTGCACAAGGCATTTTTACCTTGCACCGGAGGAACCAAGCTGAGGGGAGACAACAAGTGCTCGAACTCATGAACGAACTCAAGCGCCCCCATGTCGGCTCTCAGTTTGTCGGCAAAACATCCAGCATTGCTGTAGTCAGCCAGGGGAAGTTCCATGGTGGTTCCATCGTCAAAGCAGATCTGGCAATTGACAAAAGACAGGAATTAAAAGCTAATTTCAACAGAGAGACGGTCAGTAAGCCAAACTTGTGAACCGACATTTTGACTACATGACAGGGGTTCTTAACGCCAGTGCATTTTCTCGGCCCACTTGAAATTTTCAATGGAACTGTGGTCCACGGCATCTGGGGACGTACTTTCCAAGGTTCTTAAAAGGAACATGCGTGTAAATGATGAAAGACGAAGTGTGCTTCAAAGCCAGAAATCAAGTTTTGGGACGGTCTGGGTGTCAAAAAGTTGATAATCAGAGCCCATCTCTCCACGCTTTTTGATGGTATGAGGACAGTTCACAATATCTGGAGAACAATGAGTTGTTTGTTATGTTCACGTGAACGTTTAATGTCGTTGTACGTATTGCAATGCAATAAAAGTCAACTCGTCCCGAAACGTACTCGTCCCCAGGTGTGTGTGCGTGTACGTGTATGCAGTCATGCCCATAATCAGGACATCTCATTTTTTACCGCTCCCCGGCCATGTTGGCCGGGGGGAGGTTGAATCCGCATGAAAAAGGAACCTCGTTTCAGACAAATGGCTCTTGATCTTGAAAATTGGGCACGAAAATGGGTCCCAAGGAAAAACGAAGTGAAGTTCATAAAAACGTTTTCTACCTAGAAGTAATAAACTTTTTTAATCATTAGATTTACTAGTCTTTCACGTGGCATCAAAGTTATTTGAAGGTAAACAAGGCAAAATTGTGAAAATTAGACATGAATTTGGCTAAAAAAACGATAATTTTTCATAATTATCCTTTTTCGTAAAATTGACGTTTTCTACTTCTTTGATTAGTTTCCGGAGATCTTTCTTATCAGAAGCTAAAATATATCACCATTCCATAGATTATGGGAAATTATTTATTTACACACGAGGTCTTCAAGGGAAATGGCCGGACAAATCCCTCACCGACATGCGTCGTCTGCTAGAATAGACCTATTAGTTTTCAGGCCAACGACCATACTATGTTACTACTGCGCATGCGCGAATTCACAAACTAAATGCACGCCACGTAGGTTTTACCCCCTTCGACGTGTGGAAATTAACGATTTCGACCGTGCGCGGCGGTTACTTGACCGGACCCTCGTTAACCATACGGAATTGTCCTTATCAACTTGCCAATCCTCTCTGTAGAGCCTTTTCGTTTTGAAGACTTTGTTTGCACAAAGTTAACAAACGATCACATTGAAACTCTCTGTATGTGCTCTAGCCGGCTTAATCCGAATGAAACACTACATACCCATAAAAAGAAATGCTACATAAATATGAAATGTAGCCTCAGAGTGGTTGCTTAGATGATACAATATTTCCATTTTCAATAGATCATTTGGTCTTTTTCCCACTAGATTTCTCAATTTTAGAAGTTTTCCCTGAACAGTGAGAAAGTCTCTACGATGGGCCAGAATCTCAACTAACAGTACAATCAGTTCTATGCAGCTAGATTTTTTTGTTCGACTTTCATGAGTTACATTTATTACTTCTGCGCGGCGCAATCTATTTGTGTTTTACACGCACAAAAACGATCCAGCCATGTACCGTCACGGTAAACTGCGGCCTGTTACACACGTACCGCGGCGTGCATGTTCATACGGTTCATGCATGTATAAAGTACACGTAAAACTCGTATATTTACTGTTAATTTCAACGTATTCCCGGCAATTTTATAAGACAGATAGACCTCGGTTTTAATAATGAACTTTATGTTATCTTACTGTACTTTGGTGTTCGTCTTTCGTTCCAGCCCGAGTCACTGAATTTTTACGCTCGCAAGGCCGTAAGATTATGCGGGAAGAACGGAATATGCAAACGCGTCCGGTCGGGAAGAGAAAAAAAATCTAGCGGAAAACCGTTAGCAAATCTGAAACCTTCGCACCAGTTTCTCCACTGCAACCCACTTTTGAAAACCTCAGGAAAACTTCCAATTCTTTGTTTCGAGTCTTCAAAAATCGCATCAAAACGTAAACAAACTACCGCTTACGAAAAAAGCTTTTCCCAAAATCATTAGTTTTGACCATTCTGGTGCTATTTCTCAATTTTATTTTCATAAAACACTTTAGGAAAAGTCCTTATCTCACCATGAAAATATTTTGGGCAGGAATTTTTATTTCCAAAAGGTGGAAATAAGACGTAAATTTCATGAAATGAAGCAGCTGTTTACCAAGCATGAATTCCCATGGCCCTCATTACGTATGCAAATGACCCTAAAAATGGGACATGCGCAGTTAGTAATTTCCCTCGGAAACATGCGATCTATATATATGATGTACAATGCACAGTAGGCCCCCTTCTGTAGATTAACTTGTGTGCATTACGCATATACGGACCAGTCTAATACAGTGTGTGAACCAAAAATCGTACAGCACCGCGTAGTAAACACGGCGCTTTTAATACGCAAGGAAGAAAAAACCTGTCTAAACCGGATAAAACTAGTGCCGTTTAGCCAAAAGAAAGGATGTGCATCCATGATTTTCCTGATGACACAGAGATCGGGGTGAAGGTTTGGCGGCATGATGCATGCCCGACCGTCACTTTTACGTTCTGTTGTTAGGTTGGCCAACGTCATGTACATGTACGTGCGGCGAGTTGCCCGTGACACGTGACGCTAAACCAATCCAAACTATTTCTTGCAAGAGTAATTAGTATAGGCGATATTAATTAAAAATATAAAGCAATATATTTCAACTTTCTATTAGGCCAAACTTTATTTTCAACTTACTGCACATTTCATCAAAATTCCTCCTTCCTCCCAAATGTCGCGATTCACATTTTTGTATCGCGATGCCGCGGTGAATCGTTCCAGCCCTATTCATTATTATTGATAAATCGAATTGTTTTCGAGTTGGGTCACATTGATGATTTGTTTTCACTTGTTTTTGCTTCACTTGGTACTTTTTTTCCGAAAAAAGCTTGAAATGTCACTGGAGGCAAGGCAATCACGTTGCCTTTCTCCACCAAGCTGGATAGTCCAGTGTAATCAGACCTTTGATGAAAAGCCACGTACAAAGCTAGCTTAGCATTATAATTCCTTCTTTCACTCCTGATTAGCTAGATACAGGAAATTTCAAATTGTGCCAATTCAAATCAATTTCATTTCAAATGGCCAAGCACGAAATTTTCGAAAAACCATTTGCAAATGAACATTTCATAGATGCGTGTCGTGGCCGCTGCCAACAGCGTATTTGTTGTGTTATCAGTGGTAAGGGCGTATCAATGAACATTAAAATAGCCTTTCATTCCCAAAGAATATACTCGAGTGGCAGAATCCGGTGCACCTAGTGTGACCACGAGCATGATTGTATAGTCGGCAGTGAACGTATTGTATTTGTAATGGCGCTGAAGCTTTCGAGAAGGAGCATATGCCTCAAGGTATGAGACGGAGAGAACCCCCCCCCTGCTTTGGGTTGGTCATTGTCTCGCAGGAACCTGGGGAATTCCTTTGAGACATCTTGGGGGGGACGTGTTAAGTAACAATAGTCTGGAATGTGTATAGGGATTGGCCATGTTGGGGGGGGGTACCCCTCGGTCTCATTTCTTGCTGGGTATAAGCAGGAGTACACTACTTGACTAGTCCTATGTATATAGAAACATTACTACATGCACACACCTCCACTTTTCTATCCGGTAATGCGTTGACCTTCACGACGTATCTTCCACGAACAGGAGAACCATACAACACCAGAATCACTCCGTCCTCGACTGAAGATCGCCAAAACTCCCACATAACGTTTCTTTGAACGATGTAATCAACCTGTGTTCACCAAAAACAGAGCAAGAATGACGCAATGTTCCAACCATAGAGCAAGGAAACCGAAGGTCAACCCCCTGCACGCGAATCGCACAGTTTAAAAGCGGGAAGGCGTTATCGGTTATTTCTCATTTGGGGATTCCCCTAAACTGGTGCTTTCCCCCAACAAGAGGGCGCTGTTTCCCATGAGTAATTTTACACAAACGAAAGAGTTTATCCCGGCAAATGATGACAATCCCACTGTTCTGATGGCCAAACAATTTCCCTTCTCAACAGAAACTCTGTGTGTGGGGGGAGGGGGAATTTCCATATGACCATACTAATAAGCTCGGCAGAAAATTATCATTAGACCATGACTAGAGTCAATGTACTGTACCCGCAGAGCTACAGAGGGCGCCCAATTTGAATCCGGTGGCGCAAACGTACGATGCAGACTGCTTACAATTTATATTAACCGCGTGATCTGGGCGTCCCGAGAACAATTACGTCTCTCATCTCGTCAACTTCTGGACTTTCCATTCGATTCGCTGCTTTCTGCACTTGGGAAATCTGAAGAACCATGATCCATTTCCCTTTACAATTAATCTGCGCTTTGTCTTACAGGCAGCAAAGTAGAACAAAAAATAGCTCCTGCCGGACTGCCTAATAGGCCTAAACTAGTTTCTGTCAAAAGGCTATCAAAGTAAACGGATCGTTCCAGGTACAAAGTAAATTTACATGATAAACGATTTCTTCCACTCCACTTCCACTCCCACTCCAACCCCAATCCAATAAAAAGAATA